GAACCGAGGGGTCCCAGATTGCAAGAGGGCACAGGCTGGGCTGAGGGACTCCCCGCCCCCTGAGTGCACAAATTTTTGTGCATCAGGCCTCTAGTATTTGTATAAGAATCCTAGGAACTAACTTCAGAAGATACACTCTGACCTTCAGTCATCCCAACTCTAGGAGAATTGCTGACCTTCAACCGTAAAACCAGGATGACAAAGAACTAGGATGACCGAGACCAGGATGACCCACACTGGACCAACACTTGACCAGTTTCAAGATCCATATCGAAATGACTGTGCTGGACTGCAGGTAGAGAACTTTTCAACTCCCTCCCCTTGATTATTTTGTTCTGTTTTGCCTCTCCCTCCTTGTAAAAACCTCTGCCTACACTGAGATGTTGAGATGGGCTTTGTGACAAGAGTCCTCCATTTCCTCTTCCTTTTTTCAACAACATCTGTCTAATAATGAGTTTGTTTTTTGTGGTGACAGGCAACAGAACTTGAATTCTGGTTACAGTTTTGGCAAGCCAGCCAGGAGTGAGCAGGAGCCCCTTCCCCCACACCCAGTAAGCTCCTGGACTTTGGAGGGAGTTCCCCAGCCTGCCTGTGGCTGACTGACTCCCTGATAAAAAGTAAGGGCGATTTTAGGAGAAAAATTGTATTTCAATGGAATCTATAATACAACCCTATATAATAAAAGGCTAATATGTAAACTGTCCCCTTGATCGGGAGTTTCATCAGGGGGTGGGGCTGGCCAGTCGCCCTCCCCTACCTACCCTTCAGCCCCTCTCCCCCCATCAGGGGTGGGGCTGGCCAGACCCCTCCTGTGCATGAATTCATGCACCAGGCTTCTAGTTATAAACATTAGGCTCTGGTTCAGTATATTGTCTATAATATTGTATTTCTCACCTATGAACTAGATTGGATTCTGAATTTTTCTAGTTTCCTGAAATATTTTGGCTATAACTTCCGAACTTTCATGGAAATGGAAGAAAAATTGACAGTGGGGACCTGTAACACTGGAAAATTGTAACCCACCCACATTCTCTTCCACTGTTTCTGTGAAATGCTGACTCTGACTAATATGTAGCTTGTAGATAAACAGCATGTTTTTGTGGTTTTTTAAAAATATATTTTATTGATTTTTTTTTTTACAGAGAGGAAGGGAGAGAGATAGAGAGTTAGAAACATCGATGAGAGAGAAACATCGATCAGCTGCCTCCTGCACATCTCCTTCTGGAGATGTGCTCGCAACCAAGGTACGTGCCCTTGACCGGAATCGAACCTGGGACCTTTCAGTATGCAGGCTGACGCTCTATCCACTGAGCCAAACCGGTTTAGGCAACAGCATGTTTGTATAACAATCCTAGGAACTGCCCTAGCCAGTTTGGCTCAGTGGATAGAGTGTCAGCCCACAGACACTATCCAGGTTTGATTCTATTCAAGGTTATGTACCTCGGTTGCAGGCTCCATCCTCAACCCTGGTCAGGGATCATGTGGGAGGCAACACATCAATGTGTGTCTCTCACAACAATGTTTCTCTATCTCCCCCTCCCTTCCACTCTCTTTAAAAAAATCAATGGAAAAATATCCTGGGGTGAGGATTAACAAAACAAACAAACAAACAAAATCCTAGGAACTAACTTTAGAAGATACAGACTTTGACCTTCAGTCATCCCAGTTCGAGGAGAATTGCTGACCATAAAATCAAGATAACCAAGACCAGGATGACCCGCACTGGATTGTCACTTGACCAGTTTCAAGATCCTTAATGGAATGGACCATGCTGGACTGCACGTAGACAACTTTTCAACTCCCTCCCCTTGATTATTTTGTTCTGCTTTGCCTCTCCCTCTTTGTAAAAACCTCTGCCTGCACTGAGATGTTGAGATGGGCTTTGTGACAAGCATTCCCCATCTCCTCAGGTGACCAGCACTTGAATAAAACCTCTTTCCTTTTTTCTGCATCTGTCCAATGAGTTTGGTTTTTGTGCAGCAGGCAGCAGAACTTGGGTTCTGGTTACATATAGGTATTGCAGGCAAACATGATGGCCATTGGAGCTCAATCATGAGATTCCATCAAAGCAGATTTAAAACAGCCTATACAGCCCAGCTGTGGTGTGGGTAATAGAACTAAACGTGCATTTTAAAATGTAGTCTATTGGTGCCCGAGCCAGTTTGCTTGGTGGTTAGAGCATCGACCTGTGGACTGAAGGGTCTCAGGTTCAATTCTGGTCAAGGGCACGTACCTGAATCCCTGGCATCTGTCAGGGCATGTTCAGGAGGTAACCAGTCGATGTGTCTCTCACATCGATGTTTCTCTCTCTCTGTCTCTCCCTCTGCTTTCCACTTTCTCTGAAATTCAGTGGAAAAAAATAGCCTCAGATAAGGATAAAAAAACAACAAGTAGCCTATTGGGTGAACACTTCAATAGTGATTACATTCTAAATTGAAAATGAGAGAATGAGAACGTAATGTTAATGTAAGAAACATTCAAACCTGTGATAAATTTTTGTGCATTTATTTGAGCCAACCTGTCGACAATTGCCAGGAAGCAGAATCTCAACAGATTGAGATAATGCTTGGGAGAATGGCAGTTTTGACATGACTACCCACCATAAACTTCTTTTAGTAAAAGAAGTTAAATTTCAGACCATCTTTGCAGTTACTTTAGGTCTTTGAATTTGCAAGGCAGCCATGCAGGCCTTCCCTGAGCTAGTCATGTTAGCATGTGGCCCCTTTTCGTCCACACTAACCTTGCCAACATTTTACACAAGGAAATATTAACATTTCCATAAAGCATAGTCAATTTTTTTTTTACATTAGGATAAAAATTAACATAGGTGTTGGTCATTTCATTTGCATTTACTATTCAGTATTCCTGCTTCCTGAAGATGACTTGCTATGCCTTCAGAAATGTACTTAATTCCTTTAACATCTTATCTCAAGTTAACAGTCCTTTTCTGGAACTAACTGAAAAGGAAAACCAAGCATCTTAATCATAAATTAGTTTCTTATATTGACTCTCAAAATTGTTTTAATATTTCAAAATAAATGAAAGCTCCTATGAGAAGAATGCCTGTGTACAAATTGAGGATTGGAGTGAGGAAATATTGTCAATCTGCTAAATTACTAATATCAAATGGGGTAAGGCATTAGGCAATGAGTCTATTCGTGTTCTAATAGCCTGGAAACTTAAACTTTTTGAACTTTTCAGTCCTGAGTCAATGCCTAGATATACACCTGGACATATAACAGACCTTCAGATACCCCTCTGATTACGCACCGAAGGACTCCTATTCAGACCATCTGACATCCATTATCCTGACCACCTGACATCTGACTGATAACTGCCCTGGACCAATCCTGGATCAACCAGTAATTCTCAGTAATGTACTTTTTACTATAAAAACTTTTAACTTTCCTTTCTTCTTTGGAGAGCTTCTGGATTTTTTGCCTAGCTGTGTTCCCATTTGCAAATTCTAAGACTTTTGAATAAACATCATTTATTTCTAGCCGAAGCCCCCAGACTCTTTGAGTCATTTTGACAAGACCAAACAAATTGAAAAAAAATATTTTAGGCAATATCAGTTGTGTGTCAGAAAACACTCCTGAAAGGGTCTGAAAATAATTCAATAGGCTACCGAAGAAGAAGCAGATCTTAAGGGGAAAAAAATCATTTGTCGTAACAGATGTCTTGTCCACAAGTACAAAACAAACAGCAACCTTGGAACGTGCCTTCCAGTTCTTGGTGGGACAGTAATTACCACGTATCTGAATGTTAGCATTATTTAAATTACACCTTTTATAAGAGAGCTTGAATTCTGTATCTGAGGAAACCAGTTACCTGAGGCCCTTTAACCCTCAGATTCTGAATTAGGTTGTTTTCTCTCATATATACTTTATATATAAGAAAAAAAACGTATATGACAGAGCAGATTCAGGATTAGAGCCCTAAATTAAAAGGATTAAAACTCTAGCAGATGTGGTAGCTTTTCTCCAAGATGATCCCTGCCTTCTGGTATTCATACACTTGTCCCTCCTACATTGTACCAGGATTGGTGACCAATAGCATATAGCAGAAGTGATGTTTTGTCACTTCAGTGATCATATTTTTAAAATACATTTTTATTGATTTCAGAGAGGAAGGGAAAGGTAGAGAGAGAGAGAGAGAAATGTCAATGATGAGAGAGAATCATTGATTGGCTGCCTCCTGCACACCTCACACTGGGGATTGAGCTTGCAAACTCAACATGTGCCCTGGTCGGGAATTGAACTGTGACCTCGTGGTCCATAGGCCGATGCTCAACCACTGAGCAGCACCAGCTGGGCTCAGTGATTATATTTTAAAAGATTTCCATCTTGAATGCCCCCCTCCCCCTTTTTCTGGGAGAAACAAGCTGCCATGTAGTAAGAGGTGTAGGCAGTGGCAAGAAATAAAGAATTCTGCCAGCAGCCAATGAGGAACTGAGGCCCTTTGACCCTCAAGTGAGCGAGACTGTGACCACTTCAGCACCAGTTGAGTCTTTAGATGACTGCAGCCCCAGCCAATAGCTTGACTGAAACCTCATGAGAGACCTTGGGCCAGAACTACCCAGCTAAGAGGCTCCCACATTCCTGACCCTCAGAATTTGTGAGAGATAATATGTTGTTTTAAGCTGTTAAATTTGGGGGTAATTTTTTATGCAGCAACACATCACTAATATACAAATTATTAAACATTATGGAATTAATATTAGCTATAATTATTTTATTTTGATTATTGACCCTAAAAACAGCACCTTATTAACTAAGCATCCTCCATAGTTTTGGACACGTCTGAAGGTTATGTGACTAACTTGCCTGAGGAAGAGGAAACTTGCAAAGAAGTCCAGACTAAGTCCAATATTATAGCTTCAGCATCCGAGTGGAGGATGATGCAGAGGGTCTCGTCTGTCTCTGCTGTTGATCTCACAGATTTTATGGAAAGGGAACCTTGAGCAAAATCTGAAATAGCTATTTTTGCTAAAATCTCTGTGAGACATTATTTGCCTTGGTCCCATAACATCAGAGTACGACAAAAAGTGGAGGAACAGGAGTCTATCCACCTCATCAGGCCACATTTGTAGTGGCGTGTCATCGCCCATGCATATCAGCAATTGGGGCACAGCAGAGCAGCTGCAGCTGAGCTTGGCACAGCAGGCCTTCATCTTCAGTGGGTATGCAGGAGTTTTGTGCTCTTTTCCGGGTGTCTACTGCAGACACATCTCAAAAAAATAAAATAAAAGAATTAACAGAAAAGTCTGTATTCATGAGCCTAGCTGTGATCTGCAGGTTTGGCTTTGAGGGAGACTGGAGGTGCACAAACAGAAGAGCCAGAGAGATCACATTTGTGCTGTTACAGGATCCTGCATTGTAACTCCAGTCTGTTTTGACCTGGACACGTAGGTAACTAACCATGAGGAGAATGGGCCTTGAAACATTCTCCAGACAAGAAAAGTTAGATAAGAAATCATCTGAACAGTTTTTTAAGGACTTAGATGTCCAGACCTTGACTTTGAATGAGTGTAATTTCCAATGTGAAATCCACAGTTTGGTTTAAGGGATACAGGAAAGTTTTAAAATTCCATATAAATAATTACACATCGCTACCAACTTTGCTACCTACACATTGCAGTAGGAATACAAACTGGCTCCCTTCAAGGCAATACCTACATAAAATGAGATGTGAAATACGCTGCTTGCATCATAAAGACTAGTTATCAACCTCTAGAATAGATGGAAAAGACATTGGTGATGGCTAATATTAGAAATACAAGTTTTCCTAAAAGGGTTTTATGTATGCATATGACATAAAGAAAATTGTTTTTCTGTTTTGTTTTGCTTATTGATTTCAGAGAGGAAGGGAGAGGGACAGAAACATCGATGATGAGAGAGAAACATTGATCGGCTGCCTCCTGCACGCCCCCTACTGGGGATTGAGCCTGCCTCCTGGGCATGTGCCCTTGACCAGAATTGAATCCTGGACCCTTCAGTCCACAGGCCAATGCTCTATCCACTGAGTCAAATCAGCTAGGGTGAAAATTGGGTTATTAATGTTGTTTACTAATTCATTCATTCAAACAAATATGTGCTGAATTCATTCATTCAGCAAATATTGAAATAGACTGTTATTTGCCCAACACTGTTCTGGGTTCTAGGAATCGAGGAAAGAGACAAGATACCTATTCTTGAAGCTCACATTTATTTTATTTTTTTAGGTCTATTTTATTTATTTTTTACATTTTTTTATTGATGAAGTGATTACATATGTGTCCTTATCCTCACATTATCCACCATCGCCCACACTCATGCCCTCACCCCCCTGTTGTCTGTGTCCATTGGTTAGGCCTATATGCTTGTATATAAGTTCTTTGGTTATCTCTCCCCCTTACCCACACCCTCCCCTACCTTCCCTCTGAGGTTTGATGGTCTGATTGATGTGAAGCTCACATTTTAATTGGGGGATGAGGAAGATGACAATAAATTTGAAAAAAAATAAATACAAATTTCAAATACAGGTATAGCATGGAATTATGGCAGGTTCAGTTCAAAGACCATCTCAATAAAACAAGTATTGCAATAAAGCAAGTCATAATCTTTTTGCTGGTAGAGGGTCCTGCCTTCATTTGTATGTATAAACACACACACACACACACACACACACACACACAGACACACACAACACAACACAACATCTGTGAAGCTCAATAAACAGAGGTATGCCTGTGGTGGTAGGGACCAAGAAAAAAGAATGGTAAAAAAGGATGATGGTATAAAGAGTGACAGTCAGGGGGTGGCTACTATAGATTAAATGATGAGTGAATACTTTTTTAAAAAGGTGATATCTGAGCTGAGCTGCAAGGAATGAGAAGAAACCTGTCATGTGAAGATCTGGCAAGAGAGTGTGCCAAGCAGAGGAACAGCAAGTACAGATTGTGAGGTGAGGTCATGCGCTTCGAGCTACCGAGGGAAGACCAGCATGACCAGAACATAGTGATCA